GCATGGCTGGCCAATTACAATCTCTACATGTTTCACTCAACAAAATCATAGAAGAAAAGAATGTGAATCCTGACTGTTTATTTAAAACCTTGTATTGATACTTTCTGATATAATCAAGAATATTCCAGCACCAAAAACTGCAGAATGGGTGTCAGTGGCTTCAAATAAAATCCTGGTGATGATAATGGAGCACTCTTTTAAGAACTGTTGCACCACCAATGTTTTTGATGACACATAAAATAACATGTGCAAAAACATTGATGATGATGATGATTTTGAGTTGAAAGCATACAGAAAAGTTAGATTCAATGTTAGAAAGGTTCTTTTTAGGAATACCATAACCAATTTAGTTTATTTATATACACAGGAATAATATACAGTAAAATTATTTGGGTAAATATGTCTAAAAGAACTTTTCAATAAGAATAAAATAAAGATTCTAAATGATTAGAAAGCTTTATGTCATTTTTAACCGGCAGCACATTTTCATTCTTCTTAGTGGTGCAGAAAATAATAACACATCTTAAAATCAAAGACGTTTTAAGACTTAATGAAATACAATTTACTATTGAACAATACGGGTTTAAACTGCACATGTCCACTTATGCAAGGATTTTCTTCTGCCTCTGCCAAAACAGACAGCAAGATTAACCCTTCCTTTCTCCCTCCTCCTCAGCCTACTCAACATGAAGATGATGAGGATGAAGAACTTTATGATGATTCACTTCCACTTAATGAATAGTACATATATTTCTCTTCCTTATGATTTTCTTCAAAACTTTTTCTTTTTTCTAGCTTCCTTTATTGCAAGCATACAGTATATAATACATGTAACATGTAAAATATATCATATTCAATCTTTTTTGTTATCTGTAAGGCTTCCTGTCAACAGTAGTACCTATCAGCAGGTAAGTTTTGGGGGAGTTAAAATACAGAGATTTTGGACTGTGCAAGGGTGGAGGGCGCCCTGATCTCTGCATTTTTCAAGCATCAACTGTATTATGTCTCTCCTATTGGGAAAACAAGATACCCTTTCCAAAAAGATGTGTATAATAGCATTTTTGCAAAATAAATGATGACCTCCAAACTCATATATATAACAATAGTTAACATGTATAAAACACATATGATGTGCCACAACTCTTCTAAGAAATGTACATGCATTAACTCAATTAGGTAGGTATTACTATGTTGATGCTCAGTTTACGAATGAGGAAACTGAGGTATAGGGAAGTAAAGTCACTTGTCCAGGTTCACACAGCTAGTAAATGGCAGGAATGCAATTTGAACCTAGGCGTTTTGGCTCCAGTGTACATGTTCTCTCTTAATGATTCATTCATACTCTCATATTCTCTTTCTCTCTCTTTCTGAAATGCACACATTCTCTCTCTCTCTCACCACACCCCTCCACATTTTGTTTTTCTCTTTATGCCCCTCTCTCACTGGATTTAATTATGAGCATGAAGAAAACTCTGGAAGGATATATACTAAGTTGTTAACACAGGTTACAGGGGTGATGGTGATACAGGAGAATGTCAAGCAAAAAGAGAAAAAGAATAAAAAAAAGAGAACTCCATTAAAACTCCAGTTGTGTATGATATAGTTATGTTTATGCCTTATATAAAATTGAATATGTGTGTATATGTATAAAACATGATAAACAAAAGTTATCTAAAGATTTAAAAAGACAGTCCATAAAATATATACAAATGGTCAACACATTTGAATTTTACTGATCATAAAAAAATCAAATTAAAAGAATGATGGCATATGGGCTGGGCCCGGTGGCTCACGTCTGTAATCCCAGCACTTTGGGAGGCTGAGGCAGGTGGATCACTTGAGGTCAAGAGTTCGAGACCAGCCTGGATAACATGGTGAAACTCTGTCTCTACTAAAAATACAAAACTTAGCTGGGCTTGGTGGTGTGCACCTGTGATTCCAGCTACTTGGGAGGCTGAGGCAGGAGAATCCCTTGAACCTGGGAGGCAGAGGTTGCATTGAGCAGAGATCGCACCACTGCCCTCCAGCCTGGGCAACAGAGTGAGACTCTGTCTCAAAAAAAAAAAAAAAAAAGAGAAGGATGGCATATGATTTCTGCCCATGGAATTTGCAAAGATGAAGTGAAATATACAATGTTACCAACATAGCAGGAAAATGGGAGCCCTTATTTGCTGTTAGTGAATATTAAATTGGTCCAACCTATCTGATTGGAAATGGAAATGGTAGTATAATACTAAGTCTTTTGATCAAGTACTATTACTCCTAGGGATTCTCCTTAAGGTAATATAACAGTGATGATAATGAATATTAGTGTTAAAGATGTTCAATACAGATCTATCTATTATTTCATTTGTTCATATATTCATCTATATTCTGTTACCAGGGTGTATATTTAAGTGTTAATTAAAACAGCAAAGAAGAAAAATGAATGGGAGAAGGAAGAGGAGGAGGAGAAGGAAGAAGAAGAGATAGATGATGCAACCCAAATGTCTAAAAATATGAATGGCTAAATAAATTGTGATATATTTATTTGATGGAATATTATACAACAATTAAAATTACATTTGCAAATAGTATTTTCTTTTCTTTTTTTTTTTTTTTGAGACAGAGTCTCGCTCTGTTGCCCAGGTTGGAGTGCAGTGGCCGGATCTCAGCTCACTGCAAGCTCCGCCTCCCGGGTTCACACCATTCTCCTGCCTCAGCCTCCCGAGTAGCTAGGACTACAGGCGCCCGCCACCTCGCCCGGCTAGTTTTTTTTATTTTTTAGTAGAGACAGGGTTTCACCGTGTTAACCAGGATGGTCTCGATCTCCTGACCTCGTGATCCACCCGTCTCGGCCTCCCAAAGTGCTGGAATTACAGGCTTGAGCCACCGCGCCCAGCCTCAAATAGTATTTTCTAACAGGAAAAAATTCCTATTACACTGTAAGGTAAAAAATGATTATGTCTATTTTTTTTTTTTCTTTTCTGAGATGAAGTCTTGCTATGCCATCCAGGCTGGAGTGCAGTGGCACCATCTCAATTTCTGCCTCCCGGGTTCAAGCGATTCTCCTGCCTCAGCCTCCCAAGGAGCTGGGATTATAGGCGCCCACCACCAGGCCCAGCTAATTTTTGTATTTTTAGTAGAGACGGAGTTTCACCATGTTAGCCAGGCTGGTCTCAAACTCCTGACCTCAGGTGATCCACTTGCCTCAGCCTCCCAAAGTGCTGGGATTACAGTCGTGAGTCACCACGCCCGGCGACTATGTTTGTTTTATGATTTAAAAACTGTACAACAGATTTAAGAATTAATAGAACATTTAAAAAATTATAGTGGTTATTTTGAATATATGTGGTTATTTATAACTTTTATTTTTTATTTACACTTTACAGTTAAAAATATTTTACATTTTTATATATAGATATTTACAGTTATATTACTATATATTATATTTATATACTTTGTATATTTCATAATTAGGATGCAAGGTTATTATATTATTATAAAAAGAAAACAGAAATTAATATCTACCATATTATGCTATATCACTGAAAACAATGGTGCACTGCAGTAATATAGAATGGAATTCAGTAAGGGCAGTCTTCCTTAGATAGTCTCTCTTTTACAGTTTAATGTTACATTTAACAATCATAGGAGCCAACAGTGCCTGGCATGAATCTAAGTGTGGTGTTAACACGTTTAATCCTCACAACAACCTTTCCTCAAAAACGGAGTCACAAAGTTTCAGTAACTTGCGCCAGGTCACACAGTTAGAAAGAACCAGCACCTGGATTTGAATCTAGGTAGTTTGATTCCAGAGCCTGGCTCTTAATCTCTATAGTTAAGCCCCTATCACAAGTGAACAAAACAATGAAATAAAGAATATTAGCCAGGCGCAGTGGCTCACGCTTGTAATCCCAGCACTTTGAGAGGCGGAGGCAGGCGGATCACCTGAGGTCAGGAATTCAAGACCAGCCTGGCCAACATGGTGAAACCCCCTCTCTAGTAAAAATACAAAAAATTAGCCAGATGCAGTGGCGCACGTCTGTAATCCCAGCTACTTGGGAGACTGAGGCAGGAGGATCGCTAGAACCCGGGAGGCAGAGGTTGTGGCGAACCCAGATCGTGCCACTGCACTCCAGCCTGGGCGACAGAGTGAGACTCCTTCTTAAAAAAAAAAAAAAAAAAATATTAGGAACAATGACATAATCATATAATTGGA